TGATTTTCCTTTCCCTCTGTGAATCCTGAGGTCAACTAAAGGGCAAATGATAACTATCAAAACGCCTGCCATTTAGTATAAATAAATATCTCAGACCATGAAATTTATTTAGGTCATGAAATTATGACACTAAATTAAAGCAATGGTATTTTCATTATTCCGTACCATTGTTAACTACTAACTATTAATTTCTAAAACAATTTCAATTGAATTAGATAATAACCAAGTTTAAACAAGATGGGCTTACGAAAAAATAAACAAGAATTGTTAGATAGTGATGGAGGTTAGTTGAGAGTAATTTAAGTCACAAGATTTATGAAGAAAGAAATGAGTTCGAAAGTCACCTTGAGAAGATACCGTTATTGACGGAGATATTGAAATCTAGCTACACATACTGATCTTCAATGCTAAGGGATCAGCGAGCACTGACAACAAATCTCCAGAATTCTACCTTTCCATGATGATAAGGATGCAGATTTTTAAGAAATGGCATATTTTTCATAACTTTTAATCCAAAGTTATATATTTATTTATATCAAATGGCTGGCATTTTGATAGTTTCATTAGCTCTTTAGGTGACTTCAGGCCTCACAGAGGAGAGGAAATATCAAAGTGAAAAAAAATTCGAGGGGGGGGGGGTGGTTGAACAGAAGAGCGTTTCAAAGATGTAAAAGAGACAGACACAATGGTATAAAAATGGTGAGGTGAGTACTATGAAAGTAGTCGAATATGACATGCAGTGGGGTGATGGTAGTTAGAAGCCAGAAGTCAACTGCCGGTTACTAGACTTCGTTGCCGTATGAGTATACGTTGCCCAGGGTGCAGTACGTGAAGGTGAGTCTATTGCACACCCCCTTTTAAGTAGTAGTAGGTGGATGCCATGCTGCATATGCAAATGATTGAAATAAAAATATATCTAGCCCATCGAAGGAGAGCTTGTGGGTCATCAGATGAGCAAATCCTTTTCTTCCTACTCATTCACTGAATAGAACTAAGTACTCTTATTAAACATCTACACCACAGTATGTGTGTTGAAAAGTAACGATATTGAAGCTTCTCAAATGAGAGACGAACATTCAACCACTGTATCTCCTAAACCTATGTAGGTTGGCATGGACAATACTTGAATTGACAGAAAAAACAAGAACAGACCTATAGCCTAAGTGTTTCACCTTCGTCTCTGAAGGTAATATTTGCCGTTGAAGTATCCAAAATAAATGTTCAAATGCTGTTCACACTGAAATTTAAGTGTGGAAAACGTAGAGAAATATAGAAATTAAACTAAGAAATATTACAGTTTGAATTATCAAGATTTCAGCTCCCTAAAACTCACACAATCATAAGTTGCCAGAGATAAATATTTTTATTTGTTCTAAAGTCAATTATCTTTTCTATATCATTGCGGTATAGATAAAATTTTTAGGCATTTTGAAGCTTTCGTTTAACTGACCTCGAAGTGTTTTCGTAACCATATAAGGACTATTGTAGGGCATATGATTCCATAATTTTCATAGAACATATTGGGTCATTTTCCGAATACGTAATAACTTACGAAAACTCACTATGAGAAAATACCAATTTTCGTTCAAACTCTGAATGTTGACTACCTTTCAAATAAATTCGTGTTTCTTCTCATCGATTGTAAATTACCAACTTGCTCAAATAAGCAGTATCCATGCTTAATTATGGTCATTTGCGTATCGGCATTGTGCGTCATTGTAAATTATTTTGAAAGTGGGGTGTGCGATAGACTTACCTCCACGTGGTGCATCCTGGGCAACGTATACTCATACGACAAAAAGTCTATTAACTGGCAGTTGACTTCTGACTTTAAACTATCATGACCCAACTGTTTGCCATATGTCACCACTCCACAGTACTCATCTTACCTTTTTCTCTACCTTTGTATTCGTCAGTCTCTTTTACAACTGTGATCATTGTTCTGTTCCCCTCTCGAATTTTTCTCACATTGGTGTTCCTCCCCTCTGTGAAGTCTGAAGTTAGTTTAAGGGCTAATGATGGCTGTCAAAACGCCTGCCATTTGAAATAAATAAACAAACTGTTGAAAAACGTTCCTTCAAGGAAAGCCCCCCCCCTCGCACAATAAATATTTGTTCCGATAATAGTACTTCATGTGACGGTAAATTAATGAAATTATCCACACTAATTATTTGTGATTATGATGAAGAGGAGACAGACGTGTAGTCAAAAGTGGTAAAGCGAAGAGAAATCAGGACCTTCCCAATATTTCTATGACATCAAACTGATCCAGTGCTGTTTGAACTTTTATAAATCAGGATTTTTTCTCTTGATTATCCGTGTGCTCCATAATCTATTTAGAAGGCGCCAAGTTGGCGTTCGCATAGACTAAAAAGCAATGAATGAATGAATGAAAGAGTGAAATTTTGTACCCAGTTCCTAAATTTCCGCATGCTGCTGGTATGTTCGCACTTCGGTTTTGTGGAGGGCACAGTGCTATCAAGGCTGACCTAAAGGAATCGCTCATGCGCTATGATTGTTAGGAAAGTGAGGTCGTTCTTTCCACCGCGTTATTCGCAAATGCGTCGTGCAAACACAGTTGGCCTTATTCGACTAACTAGAGATTCATATTCATTCAAAGCAACTGCCTTTAATTAGTGTTAGTGTTTTGCAAACCAGCATAGACGCAATAAAGCATCTTCCGTCATCATGTTCTGGGTTTCCACTACTTTGAACATAGCTTGGCTAAACGTGAAAACGAAAATTCATACAAGGAGGTTTATTTTCAGATACCTCAGGCTTGTTGTCTAACATGCAGTGGTGTTAAAGGCTAACCTTACTATTTAACTGTAGCTGATAGGAGGGGTGGGGTGGGGTGGGTGGGGGGGGGNNGGGGGGGGGGGGGGGGGGGGGGGGGGGGGGGGGGGGGGGAGGAGGAGGGCTGTGCTAGGTGGAAATTTCCAAAATGAGCGCCTTAACGATTTTTAAGTCGTTATTTAGGGCATGTGTCCAAGCGGATTATTCCTTAAGAACTGCATCTGAAATGCTATCGTTTGAGATAGCAACTTTATTTTTTTGCAGTACTGGTAGATGCATAGGTAAATAGCTCACAATTTCCTTAAGTATCGGCCTAGTATACTTGAGTCAATTTTGGAGAGGTTTGTATGAAAAAATTCTTTAGAAATGGTTCCTTGGGTTCATTCAGATTGATGTTAAAGCTAGTATATCTTTGCAAATTATATTACAACACATTAAGTCAGATATTTCTACGCCTTAAAGTAATTTAGAAAAGTATGCTAACTCGAAGTGCTAAATTCTCTTAACTGGGGTGTACGATAGACTTACCTCCACGTGGTGCACCCTGGGCAACGTATACTCATACGGAAAAAATTTAGAAACCGACAGTTGACTTCTGACTTCAAACCAACATGACCCTACTCTATGTCAGATTCCACCACTTCCACAATACTCGCATTACCTTCTTCTCTACCTTCATATCTGTCTCTTACATCTGTGAATCACTCTTCTCTTTCAAGGCTGTTGCGACTTTGTCTGTTCCTCCTCTCTCTGAAAATCGAAGTCAACTATAGGGCTGATGATAGCTGTCAAGCAGCCTGCCATTTGGTATAAATAAATATTTTCACAATTTCAGCTATTCCCTCTGTTCCTTTCTGGAAATTGTCTTGGCATGCTAAATGAAAGCTGGTACTGCATCAATTGGTCATTTTCCAAATGCTAACGATTTTAGGTATTCATAGTATTTCGATAAATCAATTTCTTTATTAACAGTAATGAGGACTAGCCTAGATACTGATCAGGTGGATAGTGACATTAGTCTCAAAGTCATTTTGTTTACTTTTAATGACATTGAAGTGAAATTTACGCTATTGTAAGTTCAATTAATCATTAGTTCGAATAGTTTTATGGTGAGGTGATGCCTGTTGGCAGGGTTTTCTATTTCGCTAGGTGTTCAAAATAAGTGTGAGAGCCAACAGATCTTCGCTAATAGACAGATTTCCAATCAAAAAGCAAATTTACAAGAAAATTGAGGTAGCTTTTTTTCCTAATAGTCAATAGTCGATTTGACATTGCCCAACTGGTTTTCAATACGTAGACACAAGCATTTGGCAATTCTTAAGATTGAACCCACGACCCCCTTGACAGCATAGATAATAACGCTCCCCCCCACAATAAATCTTCAAGCCGAGTCTCGACACCAGTGGCAAACCTCCGTAGTTTCGCAACTGGTAGCTCCCTAGTCTACCAAGAAACCATTTCAGTCCACCCATTTTTCTTCAAACTTTCTTAGGGATACCATGTTGTGCAAATTAATGTTTATGTGGGCGCATCCGCTTCTTTGCCCAATCATAACCGAATGGACGTTCTAGACTCCTTCGCCGCGTCTCGAGCTATTTATATTCTTCACCCGAAAATTACATCGGCTCCGACCTATATAACCAACTCACGCCGTTCATTTCAACAATTAAAACCCTTTACACGTTAATCCCCATCATTAAGCTTAGGCAAGTGGTAACGGTTAAATGAATTGCCTAGTTCATACCAAGTCTACTGCACATCACTGATACTGTTGAAAACTAAATTTCCACGCGACAAAACCCAGAAAACGCCTGAATCTTGAGAACTACACATTCGATCCATATTCGGCCGACAGCCGATAAGTTACCAAGTAAATCTAATTGAGATAGCTGCAAAAAAAGTTATCTCTCAAACCGAGTCCTAATCAATGACAATCCCCATAGTGCAACGAAGTCCACAAAGAACAATAAAAAGCAAATTAAGTATAAAAGACAAGGAGTCTTGTTTCATAGTAAAAAATATTAGATGATGGTAGATGTAGAGCATATAGTGAGAAAGAACAGAGGGATTTAAACGCTTAACCCCTCGTCATCACAATGAAAATATAGAAATCTACAGAGTACTATATACAATGTGAAAAGTCGTAGCAAAGGAAAAGGAAGCAATATGAAAGAGAAGGAGAACGAGGGTGCCTTCATCCACCATTAGGGTCTACTGTGCCACGATAACCGAGGATCTCGTCGAGGTATAGATGAGATCGGCGGAGGAATAATACTGCCCTCATGAGTTGGAGATGGGAGTAACGGACCATTAGAAGGTCGATCCTGCCAAGAATAATGCGTAGTTGAAGGACGTTGGAAAGAATACGGGGGAGGTATACTACTGTGAGAAGACGGGGCAACACCATGAAGATCTCGTAAACCGGGATTGTTGAAAGCATCATTGAACTCGTTGTTGAAAGCATTTTTGAAACTGCAAAAAAATAAGAGAAGGTAAGCAACAGATTTAGAATACGCTCACGTGTGGCACCAATAACTAACCGATCATTTCGATTGTCGCGGCCAGTCCTAGAAGTCCGATCCTTTGAATTACTAAAGCCTTGGCGACTATTGGACCAATCACCACCACTAGATCTTCTATCTCCAGAATTGGAGGAATAACCAACACTATTATTTGGACCACTTCGTCGGTCAGAACTACGACTCCGATGGTGGTAAGATCGGCTACGATGACCTTGTGAAGACTGTTTGCTGTCGTTATCATTTCTGCTACCATAAAGATGGCGGTGATGATCATCATGTTTGTTGCTATGCTTATGATCATCATCACGATTATGCCGACCTAAATCCTTCTCCTTGGTCAAAGTCGATTTACGAATGGAGTGGTACAACTCCTCCAACTCCGAACCAGTTTTTTGAGAAAAATGTTCCAAAAACAGCCAACATACATGTTTCCACTTTCGTCGTTTAGCCCGGTCCTCGTTCATCTCACCTAGTATCTTGCGAATATGAGCACCAATTTGTAGTAAAACTTCATTAAACCTCTCCGTATTTAGGTTATCCGCACAATCAAACTTTTTCAGCTGTTTCAGAGCCTTCTTTATGGGATGAAAACGCTCTTTACACTCCGAAAACAGATCTCCATCCATGTTACGGATTTCGTCTTCTTCCTCTTTAGTAAGGTCGGAAACAGAAACTGGCGATGCTGTGTAGTGAACGGGTTCGTTCTTACTCACTCTATTCTCACTATATTTAGAACGCTTTGCTGGAGGCTGATCGTAGACATTTTCAACCTTTAGCTCCCGTTTGTGATTCTTCTTTATGCGTATAGGAGGAATAGTAGTTTTCGAAGAGGCCTTAGAATCTGACTCGGATGTTCCATCTGACTCAACGAATTCAGCTGACTTTGGCTTGACAGCAGATTTCGAGGATTGGTCTGTTAAATTACTAAGACGTTTGCTAGAAGATGAAGATTTCTTCTTATGATCTTTCGATGAGTAAGACTTTCCATTATTTTTCTGGCCCTTCTTTATATCACGGGTTTCACTAGATGTCTGTTTAGACAACGCTTTTAGCAAATAATCCACTCGGGCTCGGATATGACTAGCCTGGGGTCGTTCATTGGAGTTAATAGGGAGGATTTTTGACGCCAAGCCTAGGTCAGGATCAAGTTTAATTGCATCCCAGTTATCATAGCCGTGTTCATATACCCCCACAAGCAAGTGCACATCATCAGTTGCACTCCATTGATTAGGCCAGTTTGTAAATCGGGGACTGAAGGGCAACTCATAATTCAAACGATCCTCCTTTGAAGACTTGGGCATAACTTGATAGAGAATGTCCAAATTGCTCAGACTCTGCAAGATTTGCCTAGCTTGTATCGCCACTTTACCGTAATTGAAAACAGGAGCTTTATTTTTAGCTTCCTCTTCGCCAACTTGATTGGTTGTTGTTGGTGATTCAACTGCCGACTTACAACCATCGATGATGTATTGAACAATATCGAAAATTTCCTTATTCGTTAGAGAAGAGAGCTCAGCTTCTGCAGCTATAGAATCAATACGTTCGAGAGGACGAGCAAAGCGCTTTAGCGCTTTCACAACTGCACGTATGTCTTTGGGACTCAAGTGTGCAAGTTTCTGCCCATTATTCTGTTGTTCATCCTCCGAGTCTGATTCACTAGAAGAGTAGGCCTTATCAACGCCCGCATGGAAAGACTTCACCTGTTTTCGAAGTCGAGGCCCTGTGATAAGATTCATAAGAGCCTTCTGATCTTCATTCTCCTTGACATTTCTACGCATTTCCTCTGGAATGATTTCCGACCAAGATTTAGTGGAGGGCTTTTCTTCCATTGCAATTTTATCATCTTCTTCCAGCTGGTTGAGATTCACTACATTGAAAGCTGAAAGTAGACCATGCGATTCATCCTCGATTTCCGCAGTTCGTGTCTCGGCAGTGTTTAGAATATCATCAATATCCACTTCTATATCCCCAGGCTCCTCTTCGTTCTGGCGGAATATGCCTTCAGCGCCATGTTGCAGAATATCAGTAAGAAGTTTTGCCTTAGGGTCAGTTTTTCTTCGACTACCAGCAGTATCCATGCGCTGAATGACAAGAAAATCAAGCAACATTTTACGCGTAGCACTCTCAATAATCTTCTCTTCAACCGACTCCTTTACCACCAATCTATAAACAGAGACCTGTTTTGTCTGTCCAATACGATGAGCGCGGGCTTGAGCTTGAAGATCATTTTGAGGATTCCAGTCCGAGTCAAAGATTATAACTGTGTCTGCGGTGGCAAGGTTAATACCCAAACCTCCAGCACGCGTAGACAAAAGGAAACAAAAATCAGTTGAGCCTTCGGCATTAAAGTGATCCAGCGTCTGTTTTCTTAAATCTCCTCGAATAGAACCATCTAACCGTTGAAAGCCCCAACCACGAAGTGTGAGGTAATCAGCAATGATATCTAACATCTTCACCATCTGACTAAAAATAAGTACTCGATGTCCCTGAGGTTTCAGTTTGAGCAAAAGCTTGTCCAATAGCATCATTTTGCCACTTCCTTTGATGAGATCGCGCAGTGTTTCATCATTACGTCGATAAATCTTTTTATCGTCCGGAGGATCAATGAGGTAGGCGTGGTTACAGCACTTCTTTAGCTGCATTACAATGTTTATGAAAGACGCCTTATGGCCACCACCAGTTACCTTCATGAGACCGTCGTAGTTGCGAGCAAGAATTAGGCGATAGAGTGTACCTTGACGTTTAGACATTTCTACGCGGAGTATTCGTTCCGTTTTAGCAGGTAATGATTGCTCCACATCCTTTTTCACCCGACGTAATAAGTAAGGTTCGATAACTCGATGCAAACGCGAAAATCCATCATGGGAATCAGAGACGGGCAAATGAGAGGAGAAACTGTACTCCTCTTCAAACTCCTCCCAAGTGGTAAAATAATTTGGATTAAGGAAGTGTAAAAGTGACCACAACTCCTTCAGAGAATTCTGAAGTGGCGTGCCGGTAATGAGGAGTCTAGTATCTGTATCGAATGCAAAAAGTGCCTGATAGAGTTGAGAAGCGTCGTTTTTAAGCCTGTGGGCCTCATCAACAACCAAAGCAGCCCACGGCACTTGACCAAGGAAAGCCTTGTCTTTTAGTAGAATCTCGTAGGTTGTCATGCATATATTAAACTTGAGTCTATGCTGTCTTCGATTAGCAAACCCGCCAGATTGAGACCATTCATAATCACGGATAACTTCGCGTGAATAACAATTTCCAACGTAAACAATCAAATTGAAAAATGGAGCCCAGAGCTCAATTTCTCTTTGCCAGCTGCTAATAGTGCTCAAAGGTACAACTATCAAGAAAGATCCATATAGACCATGTTCATGGAAAAGATAACTTAGAAAGCTGATCGCCTGGACAGTCTTTCCCAAGCCCATTTCATCTGCAAGAATAACGCTGTTTCTACGAGTCCAAGCATGAGCCATCCAATTAAGACCCTTGAGTTGATAATCACGTAAACGCAATTCAGGATTTCCCGCCCCAATGTATTCGGGCTGATTAGGAATGGGAACAAATTTTGGACGACGGCCAAACATATCACGACGGAAGTTAGGCAGTTTTGTAGATGCAAGGCGTTTTTCGTACTCCTGCACAGCATGCGGAAAGAGTTTTCTGATAACTGAACCTGTCTCCCATGTAGCACTATGATAGTCCATTCGTTTAAATTTACAAAGGTAATCAACCTCATTTGCGTCATCTCGATCGCGACAATGGGATATAATCCTCTCGACCTCCATTTTCTCCTGCAAAACAACCTCTTCACTATCCTCCTCGTATAGAATATTCTCCAACTCCTCAGGACCAGCAGTCTTCTTAAGGCTCTTCTTTACACCCATCTTGTATTGAAAATTATATAGCTTCTTCAAGCCATCAACAGAGTTATATCGATTGGAATCGGTGAGAGAAGACTCGGTTTCCCATGTGCAGTGTAAATGGCTCCAATTACGCCACTTTATAAGATACATTATTTCGCCCTCCTCATGTTTCGGGTCAAATCCTGCATTAGGATCATATTCCATACAATTATAGAGAGTTGTAGGATCACCCGTGGCACCTTTACGACGAATCTCCTCTTTCAGAACCTCTTCGATCACATCCAGTTCACCAAGGGGAGGAGCATTAGCAGCACCGGGATAGGACGAAGCAGCAACATGAACGGGGGACTGAGATTCTTCCCTTGAGGATCCTGCTGCATTTGATCCCTCAGGTGTAGCCTCCTGTTTTAAGGGTGGAACAAACCTACTCGATAGAAGAAAATAAAGAAGGGGATTAAATTCGGGCACATATAAAATGGATTAGAAGTTAAAAGCGAGATGGAAGAGCATGCGTGAATAGGTGAACCTAGTGAGATAATCAATGAGTTAAGCGATAATGAGGACAAGACGTGCGATCACACATTTTGTTTTATTGTTAATCTAACCTTGCTGAGGTCTTTCCGCACATCCTTATCAGTGGCCCTTGAGGTATTTGCAAGAGGTGATTTCTATATGATAAGCAAGGGGTTTATTTTATACTAATAAACACAACTAAAGTAATTAACACGCATAGTGACATGTTAGAAAGAGGGAGGCATGTTCTACCCACCGGTTAATGTTTGTTGATTGAGGACGCGGATTGCGGGAATCGACTTCTCTACCATTTAGAGTTTTAGGAGCGTCTGATTCCGAATCGCTCTCTTCTTTAAAAGCATTGGCATAATTGACCCTTCGACCCCGAGTTCTAACTGAGCCATAGCCATCCTAAGTGGAGGAGAGAGAATAAAGTTAATTCGACAGAATAAGTAACAAAGACAAAAAAAAGATTTAGCTTACTTTGGCTATTGGGTTTCTTCTTACTCGAGGTTCAGAACTGCTTGAGGACTCACTTCCACTTGCTTCCGATTCTGACGAAGAGTGGTTATCGCTCGAATCTAATTTATAGCGACAGGAACCTCGACCTCTTTCAAGCGAACTAGCCTCTAGGTCAAAATCATCCTCACGCAGTGTTTGAATATTCTGCTTGCGAGATTTCTCAGGTTTACGACCTGAATTTTGCTGAAATGTGTTCTGATGACGAACTTCACTGATTTCTTCATCACTGCAATATAAACAATAATGTCCTTCAAATTCAACAAAATTATTGCATAAAATCGCTTTTTGTTCTTCCAATGCTATACAGACCATAATCATGAGACCTACAATAAACAACTACCAAGACCTACGATCAATCATTGAAAATTCTGTCACAAACAGAATTCATTTATCAAGCGAAATGCAAATCATAATCCCAAACGGTATAAAGAAAGAGAGCGCCCATTTATTGGAAGAGGAAAAATAATTACAACTCGATAAGTTGATTAACTAAATGCTTAACAGGGTTAAAAACCGGAACCAAAAATAATAAAGGTAGTAGTACACTTTTCAACAAACAAGTCACTAAAAATAGTGAAACCCACCTTGTGGAGTCGCTTAATCTACTGTATTTGCGCTGGGAAGGCCCGAATTCGTCAACCATGTCTAAAAACCAACACAAATCCATATCATAGAGATGGCGAACAGACGATCAAAAAAGAATGTAATCGAAAAATACAATTAGAAAATGGCAAAAAGAGCTTCTGTTGCAAGGAATAAACAACTGTTTAAGGAGAAATAAAGCACAGAATTTGTATTTTGATGTTAAAAATGAGTTCTGTACCATCTTGTCAGACCAGAACACTTGATAAGCTGGCATATTTGCACTAAATGCTATAGAAGGCATAGAGGACACATTAAACACAACATGCACACAGCAACCCCCATATTAAACTGACCTGTATATCAAAACGAAAGCAGCTCGCTTAAATATGGCTACCAAAATTATGATTTCTATTGGCTCGTGCGAATGCAACACTATACTGAAATATTTACGATGATTTAAACAAACGTATATGGATAATTGCATGCTGATAAAAGTTTTATACTTAAACGTATTTAAAATTATAATAAAATATTTTATCATTAATATGTTTCTACAAAAATGTTAAAAGACATAGTTTATTGAGCAACCAAAAATCACAAAATATAGCTCTCTCACATATTGGTTTTCTAAATACTAAAATTGTGTTTATAACAGATTTTTCGGGTAGGATCAATTTATCCAAAAATATCAGCTTTATCTGCTTTAATTCGCATACTATTTATTATTAGATGTATTCAAATCAATGTACAGTAATAATAAATTTTCGCACTTTCTAAGTCAGCATGTTCCATATTTTGTTCTACGAACGGGATGGATGCCATATCAAATGAGGTCCCGACTTTTTGATGTTGTCTACGTAAACTGCATTTCTCACAACCATTTAGTTCTTATTGAAATATTTTGAATCACATGATAATGTTCTCGAACTAAGCTTTGATTGAAGCACTGAGATTAAGTACTATTTATTAGACCTCCACTAAATGAATTAATTTATGATATTTTAATTTATTTTAGAGTTAATACTATGTTTTCCTTTTTGCCTAAATTTTTTCTCTAGATGCTATATTTTCTATTTAGTCCATGCTTCAATATATGAGGCAGATTAATGCCACAAATACTTCTAGTCCTATAGGTTTGAAAAGATATCATTTCGCATTTGAAATGCGTATGTTACTTTTGTCGTCTTAAATTTATTGTCTCATCTGAAATAAGCAAAGACTTGCCGTACTATATATATATTTATATACCCGCTTTGGAAATTATAGAATAAAACATTGAATATGTGTACATCACTTTGGTGCGATCTTGTATATCGCTAAGCTTAGTTTCATTATGGTTGACTTTGGTTATTTATCAACTGATCAAATGACAAGACGGTTTATGGACAAGATCATCTTTTATTACGACTATGAATTTATTCACGTATTTAAAGGCAAACTTTCAAAATAGACCTTTGAATACCATTTCATTCACTCCATTAGGCTTCGAATGATTTGCTTACCGGTCAAAAATTGACTCACTTCCAGTAATTTCTTAGAATGAAAATCGAGTTCATCTGAAGGATTCAAGATATCGATTTCACACACTCCCCTCTTTTTCAAACACCAGTTCTCAGTTGACAATATCAATAAAAACCTGAGGGCGTACCAAATCCTCTTCACTGTTGCCATTATTAAGCTGTGACCTCAGTCCACTTTACAGCCCAATCTCTCAATTTTAGCAACATTCAGCTTCATAGGAGAAAGCAATAAAAATTTGCAAGCACCTTGACTTACTGCTCATTGTGGTCAACCGATACACGTCCGATTCAGAAATTTAGTAGTTTAATCGGCATCTCAAGATTAACAGCCATGTTAAGCCCTATTTTCAAATTTTTGTCCAACGACGACATTATAGTAAGTTTTTAACAGAGTAAATACACTATTAGAGAACAGGATGGAACTTTTAAGAAATATACTTTATGAGAGCGGGGTGCGCGATAGACTTACCTCCACGTGGTGCACCCTGGGTAACGTATACTCATGCGGCAAAAAAATCTATAAACCGGCAGTTGACTTCTTAGTTCAAGCTATCATGACCGCACTGTATGTCATATTTGACCATTTACACAGTACTCATCTCACCTTTCATCTACCTTTGTGCCTGTCCCTTTTACATCTTTAAAACACTCTTCTGTTCCTCCCCCTCTCGACTTTTTTTCAATTTGATGTTCCTCTCCACTCTTCTGTTCCCCCCCTCTCTCGACTTTTTTCGATTTGATGTTCCTCTCCCTTCCTCTCGACTTTTTTCGATTTGATGTTCCTCTCCCTCTGTGAAGCCCTGTAGTCAACTTAAGGGCTAATGATAACTATCATAAAGCCTGCGAGGTCAACTTAAGGGCTAATGATAACTATCATAAAGCCTGCCATTTGATATAAATACTTTTATGAGAGCATATTCGATGAAGAACAGCAGAGCATAGGAAACATTGCGAATATCTCAGAGAAGGCACTGTTGAAAGATATCGTGTCCCCTCAGAAGGTAGTTGCACACAACGAGGACCTGCAACAAGAGCATAAGAGGAAACGAGTAAGAAATAAGAAAAATAATATAATATTCTATTCCTGGCAGAGCCGATACCCACAAGTTAGGAGATTAAGCTAGTTAAAAGGCAAAAGTGGTTTATCAAAGATGCTTGCCTCCAAGGGTTCGGGACTACTTCGAGTGACTGCATCAACAATTTCCCGAGCCAGACTCCAAGTCATAGTTCCATAAACAACAAGGATGATCAAATTCGGAGAGTAGGGTTGTGGTGTACGTCGACCAACTCCAATGCCACTCATAGATATCAGTTTACTGAAAGCGAAACGGCAAAAAATGCCAATGAATTACGAATAAAAATACAGTGAAATGGGCATATGTTGATCTGTTTACCTAACATTAGAGAAGAGGGACGGGTCATGCTGACTAGATTCTGAGTCGAATTGCCTAGTGGTAGTAGCATTCAATCGATGACGGAGTGATTGCAGTGCAGGAGAGGCTTTAGAAGGCTCACGATGCGCCTCCGCTAAATCTCGACACATTTGAACCACCGGAGGAATCAACTGAGGGAAACCTGCGTTCCGAAGACTTTCCCTACCAAGAGAAGTAAAACGCTCATATTTAACAAGTATCAGGTCATCGTGATAACGAGTCTTGCCAGAATGATCATAACAATGGGCAAAGTATATATGATGGTGAGAACGGTAGTAGGCAATCAAATTGATGCTAATTATGGGCGAAACCTATTATCGAGATGCTGTTAGCACATGATTTATTCCAAGTGTTCAATTCGCGCTTACTTATTCACAAGTGAGTATGACAAGAGCAGATAGTACTCAAGATTTAGACTATCATCACTAATGTGTGCGATAGACTTACTCCCACGTTGTGCACCCTGGGCAACGTATATTCATACGGCAAAAAAAGTCTATCAATGGGCAGTTGACTTCTGACTTCAAACTGCCATGATCCCACTGTATGCCACATTCGATTACTTTCACAGTACTCACCTCACCTTTTTTCTACCTTCATCTTTGAAGCACTCTTCTGTTCCCCCCCCCCTCTCGACTTTTTTCCCACTTTGATGTTCCTTCCCCTCTGTGAAGCCTGAAGTCAACTAAAGGGCTAATGGTAACTATCAGAACGCCTGCCATTTGATATAAAAAAATAAATGTAAATGAGGCCTTTGGAAGTGGGTTTTTACCCATGTGCTCAAACTATTCATTCTACTCTATATAAGCTGGGTCATAGAATAAAAACGATCCTAATAAAACCTCTAGTCTTGTCATAAGAAGTTTTCAAATGAAAAGAAGGGGAGGTTTTTTGCAAATATGGAATTTCATATTCAAGTTGCTGTAGAATCGATGTAAAATTGTTGGTGAGATATACAAGCACTGGAATGCACGGCAGTAACATAGGCATCCTAAATTTCAAATAGTACCCTTTCTCCAGAAGTTAGTCTACGTTGGTGTGTGCCATAGCCGAGGGGACTCGATCAATACACATGTGCAAACATTCCCTAATCTTCTAGTCAATAAATTTGGCTGGCTTCCTGGTCACCCTATGGAAGTGGCCAAGAAAGATTAATTTCAACGAAAATATCAAGAAAAAGCACCACCCAACCACATATTTCGTATGAAATTACATTTATTTTCAGGGCATAGGATATACTACTGAGTGTAGTGAGGCCAAAGTCATACCTTTATGACGCATTTTAACCCATATATTGACCAAACTAACTTTGGGAATAGTCCTTACAGCTTGCTTACATGTTAGAAGGAACGAGTTTTCCGCTTATGCAACCACGATGCCTAACTGTGGGTCATCTCATTAAATCGCTTGGCTTCAGTCTTAGATGGATAGTTCTATTGTAAAATGATTTTAGCACTAGATCACAAAAGTTGCCAGTTTATTTTCCCCTTGATTCGACAAAATAGACGTTGGGTGATATGTATATTTACAAATGGCTCATATATTCTTTCTGTCTGAGTTACTACACACCTGTAAGGAAATAATTGCAAAAGAAGATCGTTAACAGATCATACCTATAAGCAGAGAGAAGGTGACGACGATAAGTGGCCACAAACAGGCAAAGACCAATGGACTCCTGTTTGAACGCATCCAAGAATCGTCCTAAAATATTCACCAACACACCGGAATCAACATTGAATTCGAGCAAAAAAAGGCACAAGAGAACACACAGAAGCGGCTTACCAACAGCGGAATCCCTGAGAGTATCGGCGGATATAGTTGTGGCAAATAGATTCTGAATGGAATGAAGATGAGACCGATTGAAATAAACCTACATTGATTGCTTCAATGAGGGGAGCAGTGGAATGAGAGTTTGGGTTACAGCCTCGAGAGGGTAGGAGCCAAATTAGACGAATTAGAACCAAGAGTATGTCATCGGGATTTGGAAGTTGTCTGAAGTAGGGGCAAAATAGACATTGGAAACCAAAATCATTGACTAATAGAAGATATAAGCTAATAGGGAGATTAATTGGAATTCAATTTAATTAATGTGATGGGAAGTTGATACCGAAAAACAAATAATAGAGACGATCTTTCGTGAGTACACTATTCAAACGGGAAAACAAACAGATTCCTGACCTTGTTCCAAACTTTAATAGATTAAAAAAAAAATTTTTAATAATATTAAGTTCATTCACAAATAAGATAATTGATGAAAGCCAACTATTCTTCCGGAACAAAATCGTCTAGTAGATCCAGCATAGAATACTATTGTTTTCAACCACTGTACACCAATGAGGAAGTGGTAAAAGTGTACGTCAGCCAGGTTCTAGATCACTAAATGGATGCTCATCGATGTGTAACTGCATAGGTTAATCCCGGTCAAGAAGGGGGGGGGGAGAGAGGAGGGGAGGGAGATGAAAAACTGGGGGTTTCTAGAAAAAGGTGATTTCAGAATACTTTTCCTCTCCTTAGATGTCCCTTAAAATGTCTAAACGACTATTCAAACTGAGTCACGTGGAGGATACAAATTGGAGTTTTCACAAACACATTGCTTCCTCGTAGCAAATTTAACAGATCCACAGTAGCGAGAATTTTAAATGCTCAGAATTAATTGAGCATAGTTAGCAAGACCATCAGGAGATCTAATTCTAGAAATTTCAGTCTCAGTACAGCCAACCAAAGAATTAAACAAAGATTTTTTCGGTTTAATCCAAAAGTTGTAAATTTCACTCTAATTGAAATGGAAGCACTCTAAAAAAAACGGAGAATTATCTTTAAATTTCCATATTAGTGAAAATTGTCTAAAATCATCTTATTGCATGAATTCCAGCATTTGGGAATAATAACAGACCACAAGGTAATGGAAATAAGTTGATTGATGGCTTTCTGCTGTAATGCTCCATTCTTTTTACACCCACGGTATAGCCAAAAGGTGATATATACGAGAGAGAGAGAGACCATAAAAACCCCTGCTGGTAATAAGAATGCCACAGAAATAAAAACCCAACGGGGTAAATAGTGCTTAGAAGATGCAACACCAAGCAAACGGGAAAAGAGATATCAATAAAAATGGAAATGCTCCTTCCCAAAGACGCAAAGAACTGGGAGTCAAAGGTAAAGCATGGGTTCAGTCCAGTAATTAACAGAAGTAAGAAACTCCTGCAAGTTCTAATCACTGCAGGATAATGTTGGACACTTCAACAAACACCGCCCAAACTTGTCCAAATGCAAAATGTCTGTTTTTTTGGTGAAACTATCGAATTGGGAAGATACAGAAAGGTATCTGATTCGAACAGACATGTATCAGAGCAAAAAAGTATATATATATATATATATATATCCAAGTTTCAAAAAAATGGTGCTTAATAACAGTGCAATGCAAATCAATCTAATAAGAATGCTAAAGAATTACTTTTTTCTATGAGAGGCTAAGATTCGCCACCCCCCCC